TTTATTTTTATATTTTTTAATCTTAACATGTTTCAGAAGAATGAGGATGGCATAATGTAATGCTGAAACATGTTAAGATTAGAAAAATATGTCGTATTCTTTAAAGTTTTATTAAAACAAATTTAGTTGGTGTTAGCTCTTGCAACAACAATAATAGCATTCTCTCTGTTGAATCCAGTCGTTCTGCTTACTATCGGTGTCGCCATCTTGGTTGGTGTGCAAAATGTTGAGACGTGGATTTAGTGTGACGTCGAAATAATTACCATATTTATGTGACGCCCGTCCACACGGGAAATTATCGATATGCGACAATTACATAAAAACTAGCATGCCAGCATTCCAGCAACTACAGTTGTCACATAAAAATTGTCCAATTTTGCTCATCTACACGGCAATTAAAAATTGTCACATAAAAATTGCTCGTCTAGACGGGGCTTAATTCAGAGTTCTGAAGTTCAAGACTCAGAGGAGCTGACATTTCTTTAGATTTCTTTCTTTGCCAAAAAATAAATAAATTCAATCAAATATAGAACAGAGAACCCAGTAACGGTAACTTAATGAGAAAATTAATAGAGAACAATGAGAATAAATAAATAGTTCTGAACACAAATAACGCAGGCTCAAGTTTACAGGAAAGTGAGTGAGTGAGTGAGTGAGTGAGTGAGTGAGTGACAGATTCGTCCCCCTCCAATAACTCTTCGATTGCTTCGCAATCTTCGAGTTAAAAAGGAAAGGTTTAAGAAATCTCGATGGCAAAATCTGGATTCATTTTTGACTGTGTTTTACACACTACTAAAAGAAAGAAAGCGAGTATTTTTAATGATAGAAAAGTTTTTCTCGGTTCATCTGTTCCTTACGGGAAGGCACGGTCCGCTTTTCAGACAATGAAATCTTGTGTTACATCCTAGCTATATAGTGAATAAATTTATAAATGTAGTCTTTAAGATTTTAACTTCGATTTTAGACAAGCAGCGCCGACAGCCTGGCAGTTAAAAAAAGAATAGCTGCTCTTTTTCAAGATTAGCACGCGTGGACGAGTTGTAGTGTCTTTTATTCCACTGGGGCCAGATGAGCCCCTATTTCTTTAATTTATTCATTTGTCAAAACAAAAATCGATGAAATATTGCACGGGGAAACCGGTAAACCGGTAATTTGTGAATAAGTTACTATAAAACAATTCGAATAAACTAATATTTCTAAACACAAGTAACACAGGCTCAAGTTTACAGGAAAGTGAGTATCCAAGATGGCGGACGGCTCGGTTTTTTGGTACAAAAATGGCTTTTTAACACACAAATGTGATTTTTGAGGTCTGGAAGTTCTTGTATACAGAAATGGTTTTCGGGGATATCAATATGGCACATAGATACAGCATTCTATTACGATGACTTCAAGAATTATTCCTTCATCATCGATTCATATAAACGTTTCCTTCGTAAAAAATCGAAGCACATAGGACGACACTACAACAAGTAAGAACTCAAAATATAAACTTTAACGGTCAGCATTCAAAGTGAAGGTAACATCCCTTCAAACTAAGAAATTGTGATGGTATTGATAATTCATTAAGTTTAAGGAAATGAATGATAATAAGTACAAATATATAGAACCACATGATTAGCATAATGTATTCTTGTGAAAAACAATTGTTTAAATAAACAATGGCATTGTCGATATGTTGTCAGGATTACGGATGCATATTCTTCGTTTTCAGGTTACGTCACAGCGGCCATCTTGGTTGAGCTTCAACAAAGGATTTCTAATTAGTATCTATTGTTCATTCCTCCAACATGGCCGCCAGTCTTTTATCTTTTGATTCTCATGGGAATGGGTGAAAACGATCAATAAAATTTCATTCCGCAAACAATTCGTCAAAATTCCGACATCCGGGCAATCTTCCTGTGAAAAGGGGAATGCAATAAAGACAAAAATAATACTGTTCGACAAGTTTGAATAATTACAAGCACGCCACTTTGATTTCTATTTGATTTTTTGTCGAGCACAACAGCTTCGTAAATTAAAAGCGCTCAAAAAGCCTATGTGACTAATCGAAAAGTGCCTTATAGACCTTATAGACCTTACGTTTCGACGCCATCGCGCGTCATTTTCAAGAATAGTTTATTAGATCGATCACTAGCTTTTATATGTTATTGAATATATTACAGATATTAAAATGTCTCTGGGGATAATCTTATTTAAGAATACTTTTGACTTAATTGAGTCAGATTGTGTATTCAGAGGTGGTTCTTTGTTCTTGATGTACAGCATTTCGTAAATTAGGCATTTGGATTTGTTCTTGCATCTTCTGAGTACTTTAATTTTCTCTTTGAAACCTTGTAGGCTTTCATGGCAATCTTTTTGATGATTTCCAACTTTGGTTGATGCGTTAACACGCGTGTTCGTCGATGTGTTGGAAGAGGTGACGGCACGTGTACCCGATATAACCCGCCTCACACAGGTCACACTTATAATAATAAACAACGTTCTGTTGGTTTATAATCGGYAATTTGTCCTCTTTCAGACCAAGCGAGTCGCCAAGTTTCCGGCTTGTGAAGACTGGTTGTAATTGCGTATTTAGGCAATTGCTTAGTTCCTTCAAGCCTTTTTAACGATATGGCACGATGTTTGGTCTTAAGGCAAATCTTATCACGGTCTGTGTGTCGCTTGATGGCTGTTGTTGTTGCTGTTAATCTTGTTGTTGTTGCTGGTTCACTAGGCTTTTGACTGAGGAGTTAAACAGGACCATAGGGTATTGGAGTTTCCCGAAGATTTCTTTGAGACGATTTACTTCCTGCATGAAGTACGACCAGGACGAGGAGAGTCTGTAGGCTCTATGTAACATGATCTTGAGTAGAGCTTTCTTGTATGTTATGTCTCCACGTGGCTTTTGAAGTGCAAGAGAAGGCCCTTATCTGTTGATTTTCTGTAGACTTCTGTGTGTAGATCTGAGACTTTCTTGGTTATGAGCATACCGAGAAAGGGAATCTTGTCCTTTTGGGCTGCTTCCATGGTGAATTCTAATGGTTTGAGTTTCTTGTCTAACCATTTGGTCAGTTTGTAGTTATATCTTCCAGCTGCTGATAGTATAGGTCGCATGGATAGCTCTGCCTTGTGTGTTTTTGGTAAGCCATAGAGGTGTGCGAGCTTGGAGCCTTTGGCTATGAGATCTGCTGCCTCCTCAGGTGGGAGTATTTCTTTTACTAGTTTGTTCAGGTCTTTTTCTYTCTCTAGTAGTGGATGAAAGTGCTTTATAGGTATTCCCCTATTCTTGGGCTGTTCAAGACTGATTGAAGTGAATTTCGATGTGTCATTGATAGATGCTTGATCCAATATCACAACTCCCGAGCCTTTGTCAGGTTTAGTAACTACGATGTCGTCTCTCGATTTCAGTTGGTTGATGGCTTTCATGAGTTCTTTTAGTGGTTTTGGGCTCTTGTGTTTGATGTAGTTCAAGGCTATAGACTTCAGTGTCGTTGATGCAAGTTCTCTTTGTTCTAGCTCGAGTTTCGGTTAAATCCTGTTGTATAGTTGCTCAAACGCTAGTGTAGTAGCTCAACTCTTTGTGGAAGCGAGACCACGCGATAACACTAGTTTTTCGAAAAAGGATAACTTGTACGAGGACTTGTTCGTAATGTGTTCATCGATGTCACCGGTTTTCGAGATCATGCGTGAGATCTTCTTGGTGTGGGTTTTCATTTGTTGTTCGAGTGTCTTTAGTAAATATAATTTGATTCATCGTACATGTACCGTTCCGTATCAATCTTCGAGTTATGTTGCCATTGTCGGCTTGATTTGACAGGTAATCGACTAGTATTGCGACGAAAAGACATCTTTAGCTGGAAGTTGAAAACTCTCAAAGAGTAACCATGGAAGCACGCCAGCATCCAATGCAATAGAACTTTAAGATAATCTTGGRAGAATTCTTTGAGTTTCCCTGGAAAGCAAAGGTTGGATTTACTCTTTGTTGTAGTTTAGCTTATAGTTTATTTACGGCGCGAAGCCAAAGCGCCGTCCTTCAGGCCGGTTGGGCCTAACGGCCTCAAATACGGCACTTCCCAGCATAAATATATAAGAAAGAGTAAATCCCTGGTAACYAGGGYATCTTTGAGTCTGCAGGGTTTAATAAAAGTTTAAATACCAAATAAAATACCATCAGATTAAATACGCGTTCAGCTTTATTAATGATAAAACTGATTCACTCCTTGTATTGATCTATACAAGGCTTTATGGAGCCATCCCGAATCATCGATAACTATGATCTTTCCTTTTAATTCATGTTTAAATGTTTTTTTTTTTCGTTCAAAACTGCCGTGAAATAAACACTTGATCACCATAATGGTGAGATAATGGTTTCGTCCGTTGACCTTTCGCTACGCTTCAGAGATGTTGATTGTACCCTGGTCTGAGGCAACTGAGCGGGAATTTCCGGTTTTAACATTAATGCATTGCGTTCGTAGTGCCGCCACATCGTCTGGTAACTTACSAACTTTTACAGAAAAGCTGCTTAATCTTTTGCAGAAGAGTTTTCTAGCCAGCAGTCCTTTAGTAAGTCGCTTATAAAATCAAATCGTCACGAGCGTCTTCACGATTTCAAAGACATCGGTTATACTACTATTAGAGAAAAATTTAGAAAGTTCATATTATCTTTTGTATACAATATTTATTGTTTTGGAACTCATAGCGACTCATAGCATAATGTCGGAAGCGGTTTCTAAGCATGGTTGCCGCAAATTAAGAAGTGATTTGTGATGCTCGTAGTGAAATAATAATATTCTAAGTGAGTATGAACAAATGTAATACGCCACAAAAAAATCCGGGGGGGGGGGCTCGATCCCGTGTTACTTGCCGCCAGCGGTCTAAAACCCTGACCCTGTTTAAGACACTAGAAAGTGAAAATCCATACATGTTCAAGACAAATCGGAAAAATAAGGAATCGCGAATTTCGTGAGAGTCTGAAAGGCGAAGATGGCGCCGGACCATGACTCGATACATGTGTACGAAAATGCGTTTTTAGATGAATTTTGAAGCGCTGTTTGACAAAGAACACAAGAAATCGGTAGTATATTTTATACTTTTGTGGATGTTGTAATATTTTCCATATATATTTTTGCTTCATAGCGAAAAAATAGCTTTTTGACAATGCCAGACGTTTTTCATAGTTGTGATCGAAATGTTTAATCAATTGATATTTCAATAWCAACATTGYTAAAACAATGTAAAACAAGAAATAAATTCGTAATGTCCTGGTTGCATGGCGCACGATGGCGCAGCAGTGTATTTATTCACTTTTGAAGCAACTAAGGCGAATTTTGATTCTTCGTAGAAATTATTCTCTCAATTTTACTTATTTGTTTTCGATATTTATCTGTTTATATGTTGCAATTTTTGTCCATTTGAACACAGGCATTAAGACTAAAAACCAAAAAAGAAAAAGAATACATAACGCTTTTTAATGCTACTAGATGATTTATTTTAAAGGCAGTTAATAGTACAAATTTTCTTATGTGAAAGACTTCTAAGTAATTAGATCTAAATATTGGCAAAATTAGTGAGTTGGAAAAAAGAATCATGAATGTTACTAATAAAGAGGTAAAGCGATAATAGCTAATTATTCATGGAATTAATCAAGGGTAAAAAGTCATAAATTACTAAGGGAAAATACTACAACGAAATCGAAATGTAGGTAGTTTTAAGTGTACTAATAAACATGCCTTTTTGAATCTATTGCGTTTCCATGGAAACAATTTTAATTCCAACTGTATTTTTGGAAGACTTTTGATGCTAAGTCAAAATACTCAAAACGGGCAGGGGCCGGTGGCACAAAAAGCTTGATATCGCTTGTCAGCAGATAAATCCTTCTCCGGTGGATAAAACCCATGCAATGTCCAGGGTGTTTACAACTCTACYCGATGCACACTTTATCCAAATTCCGTCAGCAGGCCTAAACCTACAGTACAAACCGCTGCATTACGACTACGAAGTTCAAAGCAAATCGAAAAGATTGAGTTTTTTGGCGACTTGGGTGCTAAGCTAATATTGAAGGAAAGAAAACCATCAAAATTAACTTCAAAACGAAGAAGTCATAATGYAACGATTTTCGCTTTAAGCATACTTCGTGAATGTTTTCACTCAGATTAATCTTCTCAAAAAATACATTAGAGAACAACAACTACAGAAGCACAGCAATGAAGTTGACTGAACTATAAACAGTTTTGTAAGGCTGTGCGTGGGAATATTTCTGCGAAGTAGCAATGCTAAAAAGTGTGAACAAGTATTTCAATTTTACATAAGATTTTAAAAATTATATGGTAAGTGAGGTTTATGCAGTAATTCCATCAACTCCATTGCTGTGGTCATCCATCTATTAATATATAATCAGATCCTCAATTTCTTTATTATCTGTAGATAGGTGTTTAATCTTGCGTTTAGTTGTGGGGCGTTACTGGTTCGTTGGCATCAGCTACGAAAATCAAGAATAAAACAAATTATGTGAAGTAAATAACATGAGATTATAGGTGTACCAAAAACAGCTTAATATCTACACAAATATCGGAAATGAAGGTTGAAAGTGAACGAGGGACATGTTTCACCATTAAGCTTGAATTTGCAGTGAGATCATAGATCATTTATATTGTAAGGACATGCTCAAATAATAAGGGATCGTTCTGATTTGCCACTCGTTTATTCTTGTTTCTCACGTACAGTAATTACAAAACTATGGTTATTAATTTGTTCGGCGCAAGATCATGAGGCTGAAGAAGGTCGACCAGAAAGACTTTCCGCTGTCGGAGTGCTTGTATAGTAGGGCTTCCAAACTCAAGAACTTTCCATACTTTGGTCTGTACTTTCCAATACGATCTAGACTACAACCCCAGCCTTGGTCCGTAACTAGGTACAATGAGATGACTAGTGTGTTTCGAGTGCTATAACGTCAGTCCTTTTATAATTCTAAACCTAACCCAATATGCTGTTTCCATCAAGTGCTAGTTAAAACTAAGCAGGGTCCGTGCAAAGTATCAAAAACGAAATTTAAGGACTTTTCAAGGACTTTTCCAGGACCAAAATTGTATTTTCAAGGAGCATCAAAATCATGCTAATTGTAATTTTTACCTCACAACTTCAGCCGAACGGAATAATTCAGAGATCGTGATCGCTTCGTGATACAGTCTATCTTTTTCAAGGAGTTTTCAAGGAATTTTTCGAAATTTTCACATTTTCAAGGAGTTTCAAGTGCCCTCGAAAACGAATTTTCAATTCAAGCACTTTTCAAGGATTTAAGGACCTGCACGGACCCTGACTAAGACAGTGGTCTTAACTATAGAAGGTTGTACCACACAGGAAACTACATGTAACTAACATTAGTCAAAACAGTCTAGGTCTCTAATATCAACATTTATCGAAAGGTAAAAGGTCATCAGAAATTCATCTAAATTTCACAAATAATAAATCTCTCAATTTCTGTTATCTAACAATATAGACAACAATTTTCATTTATGTGCGAAAAAATGTAGTTACCTTTTGGAACTTTGCTCTTTTTGCCAAACACTCGTGGTAAGAATCCAAAACGTCGTTTGCGACGTTTAAGAACAGGACGACGTCTTCGGCGTCTTCTTCGTCTTCTTAAACGTAACTTCTTCCTTTTTCGGCGAGCATGACGAATTCTTCTTCTAATTTGCCCCAATCGAAGACGGCGTCCTCCGAATTTCACCTTCAGTCCACCATTCTTAAGGCTTATTCTTCGGGAGCGACCTCTTACACGAAGACGGAGAATCTTACAGCATGTCTTTACGGTTCTCCATTGTRAGCCGTAACGAACTTGTAGAGAGTTTCCTTGGATCTTCTTCCACTTCTTGTTATAGTGAATCCTAAGTCCGCGTCCACGGAGGATCATAAGAAGATATCTCTTTTTGTCTTTGAGGTACCACTGTCTGCCTCGACGAACTGCTGGGTAAAGCTTTCCATGAATGCGGACTCTCATTCGCACATGTCGCGTTATGCGAGTCCAAGTGGCTTTAGTTTTCATGATTCGGCGACCACGTCGGAGCTTAATGCGTCTTCTTCGTCCAAAACATTTCGAGATCCACGTCCTTATGCCTTTACGAGTAGTCTTCTTGACGTATCGGTACATGTTGTTGATAAGAACTTTAATGCGGCGATAGGATGGGCGGCGTCTCCAACGTCCATTTATGAAGATTCTTAGCTTCGTTTTGCGGAAAGTGATGCGTGTTCTTCGCTTGTGGTATCTCACCCAGAAGTGTTTCTTATAGCGGAGCACAGGTCTCCATTTACGGTCGATACGAACTCTGACTCCACATCGAATGATGCGTGGTCTGCGCATCTTTCTAAATTTGATTAGTCGTCGATGAGGACGCCTTTTGGATCGTCTGATCTTTCTTCTGATTCTTCTCGTTATTCTTCTCACAACTCTTCTTGTGCGACGTTTAAGTCTGCGGATCAAACGGTTGGTACGTCTCTTGTGCGGTTTTYTGATGAAAATGCGTCTCCATCTCTTTCTTCGGAAGAACTTCACACCACGTCTAGTAATACGTATTCTTCTCTGCTTGCCACGGAAAACAGCAAAGAAACGTCTCTTACGTCCAAATCTCTTGGTTTTTACACGTCGCCATCCCTTTCTCCAGAATCTAAAAACATAATAGAAAACATGATATTTAACAGTAGTTTTTCAAAGACATTACTTAAAGACATTACTTGATACGGCACAATCAAAGGCTGTAGGGTAATTGATATTACAGTTGTCCCCTATACAACAGACAAGCCAATATTACRGACTAACCTTATTCTTGGTCTTCTTAGACGCTTCCAAACCTTCTTGAACTTAAWAAGTACTTTGCGGCCTCTCTGCTTGAGTCTGAGATATCGTTTTCCGAACCGAACTCGTAAGCGCTTACCGAAGACGCGGATTGGTCTCCAACGACGTTTGAATCGAATTTGCAGTCCTCTCTTTCTAAACTGTCGACGGATACGACGGCCAGGACGACGCTTRCGCAATCTGATTCTTCGGCGACGTTTGAAACGGAGGATACGACGTATACGTCTGACACCACGAAGACGACGACGTTTGGGACGACGAAGAAGACCTTTGCCACGACGTCGTCTAAATCGCTTTGGATATATGAGACCCATGCCATATTTGGGCTTGACACGGATGCGTTTAAAACGTTTTGGGTATATCAGTCCCTTGCCATATTTGCGCTTGACACGAATTGCTCGGAATTTTCGACGAATACGTCTGATGAGACGAATGCGGCGACCACGATGACCAAGGCGGCGACCAATAACGCGCTTGCCACGACGAGTACGTCTTCGACGAATCCTTCTGATACGGAGTATTCGACGAATTCGTCTGATACCTCGAAGCCGGTGAACACGGCGAACACGTCGGCCTCGACGCCCTCGACGAGGTAATTGTGGACGCCGATATTGCGGTAATGGTGGACGACGAGGAGGATATATTACACATTGTCCTCGTCGAATCTTCACAGGATAACGTTTTCCCTTCCTGGATTTTAGGACTATGCGTTTCTTTGTATATACGAATCTTTTCAGACGTATACCAATGCGCGTACTGAGGGAGGACAAATAGAAAATACTTATGTTAATTGGCCAATGAATTTAGACAATCAATCAACTCATCAAGAAGGCAACTAATAATCTAACAACCTAAACGATGAAAAATGCATAGGGATATCATCCAGCACAAAACGTTATATTGATATACAGAGGTATATTAAATTAGACTGATTTCATAAGTCGTAGTAAGTCGCTTCTCCCGATTTTTCGCTTAAACTAGTGACGGACCTGTGAGTGCGAAAAAAATTGACAGAGAGGGAACTAATACAGAGATATGAAATCAGTCTAGTCTTAAATTATACCTCTTACTATACTCACGCAAAACGGTTGACGGCGACAGGCTTCCAACGTCTTCCATAACGCCTGTAAATAGTTCTTTTCTTGAACAAGACGTATCTTGGAACTCTRCGAATGACACGTCCCCTACGTACGATTCTGTAGTAGAAATAATGTCTGACGTTGTATCGAATGTTGACCCAGCGATGTCTGATGTAGAACCTGATGTTGGTTCTGATTCCGCGTATCGTTCTCCCTGGACGTCGRTAGATTCGACGACGTCTATATATTCGGMGKCGTCGACGTCGTCGGCGTACAATCTTTCTCYTTCGGCGACGAATGCGGCGGCGYCTTCTTCGTCKACGTCGTCTTCTTCTTAGACGTMTTCTGYGGTATCTTCGTCGACGACGTATATTCCTTCTAGACGGTACACTCCTCCATTTTCGTYTAATGAAACATTTCACAACACCGCGTTTGAGTTTCACAGAGASTGTTCGRTKWTTGWWTCTTATTCCCAGGCGGTGGCCACGTTTTACCAATCGTGCATAACGCTTGGGCTTCATTTGAACACTGTGAAAAGAACATTCTTATCAGTAGGTTATCTTATATGTAGGTTTGAGGTATGACATGTGACAGCTCTCTTAATACATATGACATATGACAGCTCTCTTAATACAATATGAAATACTTGCGCTAATATATACGAGGTAGAGAAGGCCTTTCGTTAATTCAATGTTTTGAGAGTCACTACTTTACATCAGCTTTTATTTGTAGTTATTAGGGATATTACATTTATTATGCCGCGTGTGGGGAGGGGGTGGATGAGAAAATGTCATATAAATATCTCATTAATTTTCTGAGTCCCTTTTTGGCATGTCAGAAAATTTTTCAAGGCCCCTTTTTTCATTTTTTTTCAAATCATTATAGGGACCCCCCCCGGTATTCATATCATTTCAATGTTCCCCTGATGCCGCTCTTTTTTGGGGTTGGGGGGGGGGGTTGCCCTCTACAACTCCCCACGCTGCCCCATCTTTCCCTTAATGCTAATCAATCGTCAATCGATCATATTATATAACAGTTTACAGCTAATGAAAAAGAAAAGACTTCAAAAAAGTTCACTTTCGGTCAAAATCCACAAGAAGCATGCGCAAGATGAGTAAGATTCAGACCCTGTAGTACCGATCAGGGCATTACAAAGCTCCTTATAATGATTTATTTTCTCGCTTTTTATCTATATCCAAATTACTCAAGTTCAAACTTACGCAAATTCTTTGGTGCTGATTCTACGCCAGAGATGAGGTCTGAKTCTCTTTTTGATAACAGTTCCATGGATCTTGAAGATAATCTTCTTGTGTYTTGAGACTCTACTATAATAATATCGATGGACAATRTTGAAGTAGACGGTAAAACGGACGTGATATCGCAAAGCTGTACGGCGGATAATGCGACGTCCACGGGAACGACGACGGCGGCGGCGAAGGAGACGACGAGAAATACGGATACGACGACGTAAGCGTCYAATRCGGCGCCTGCGRCGTATATATCGACGAMGGTTTYGATACCGGCGACGACSTCGACGACGAATTCGCCGTCTTCTTCTTCGGCGAATAACACGTCTTCCTCTCCTATATTTCTTTCGCAGAAAACGTTTACGTAGAAATCGTTTACCGATGCGACGGAAGGCCTTGTGGAATTTGAACAGACCACGTCGAAGCTTGAAGAAGATTGGATTTCGGTTTCTTGGGATGAAAAGACCTTTTTTGCTTCGCCCAATGATTCGCCACTTTCGATCTCCGGGGAAACGAACTCTGAAAACAAAATACGACAAAGGTTGGCGAAATTGTCTAATAAGAGTACGTATTAAGCATCATTTTAGCATTATTATCGGGCATTAATTCAGTTCTGCAGCTTCATTTGCACATCATAAAAATAACGTTTTTTTTTACCTGAACAACGTTTTCGAGTTTGATGTACAAAAAAAATCATATTTTGAAATTCTTACCTGACTCGGAATTTCTTGAATCTCCTATACACACGTCCCTTTTTGTAGAAAACGCCTTTCCTGGTGATACGTAATCGCCTCTTTCGATAAAACCATCCCTTGCGTGAACGCACGATTCTTGACCAACGTTGTCCAATTCTGATGTTGAAAATTGGTTTCTTTCTGAGTCGGAAACGACGTTTAACGCGATAACGACGACGAGGCTTGATTCGACGTATGCGACGACCACCAATACGTTTGCGGCGACGCMATCTGCGAGGACGAACGCGTCTTCGGCGAATAAGTCGACGGCGTCGACGAACGCGACGTACGCGTCTGCGCTTTCTGCGCAAGCGACGGCGAATTATTCGTCTGCTTCTTCGATATTTTCGCTTTTGACGTTTAATCTTTCGGTAACGACGGGCAATGCGACGAGCAAAACGCTTTCGGCGTTTGATACCACGGAATGATACGTAACGTTTCTTGCCCAATCTTATGAGAGGACGTCCTCGGCGAAGTATGATTCTGCGTACTTTGGTACGTCTATGCCATCTGAAGCGTATTCTCCAGTTACGGGGTTTGGGTGAAAGCTTGTAAAGACGTCTTCGGAATCTGATTCTGTGGATAATTTAAAAAAAATTTATATATTTAGAAAAAGTCTGTGATCCGTTTTGCTGATTCCTTTTTCTTGTCATGACCGTCATTATCATCACCATCATCACCATCATCTTTATCATCATCATCATCATTGATTTTCTTATTATTGTTTAACAGTTACATACCTTATTCGTCTAACCCGTGTGGGGTGTCTTCTTGTTCTTTTGAAGACCAAAACCGATCTTTTAGTAATAACAACTCTCTTTGGTCGTTTTTTGATCAATACGAAGTACCAGTTTCTGCGCGACAAGATTCTTCTGAAGCGGCGTCCAATTTTCACTGAAATTCTTGTGCTCCTTCCACCAATTTTTCGACGTTGTCTATAGCGTCTAAATCGTCGTCTGTTTCGTCTCAGGCGTCGGCGTCTGATATTTTTGCGATTTCTTTTTACGCGACGGATGCGACGTCGAACAATGCGGCGATATCTGCGGAGTTTACGTCGACGATAACGACGTATACGTCTACGTTGACGACGTCGTCGTCGCACTAGACGTCGTCGGTCACGTCTTCTTCTTCGACGGTATATTCTCTTGAAAGGACGTCGGAGACCTCTATTATACAATCTCCATATTCGCTTGAATCGTCTCAATTTGACTACAAATTTGCGAATAACTCTGAGTCCAGATCTGTTTATCTTGTAAACGATTCGTCTGTGTCCAAATCGTACGGTCCATTTTTTTCCTTTAACTAGAGCAATACCACGGTGACGACCATATCGGACACTAAAAAAAATAATAATGAAATTATCAGGAAAATCTGATAAGGGATAATTAATACTTTCAGAAGGGACAGAGGGAAAAAAGCTATAAATATAGATTCATAAGAAATGATATGAAATGATGTGAAAATGAATGACGGTACAAATTTAAAAAGATAGAGACTAAACATTTAACTCGATCACTTTTCACAATAAAAACAAACGACTCTCATTTTTGTATAGYCTCCTCCGCAGCCGTCTCTCTTTCTTTCCGCTCTTCTTTCTACTMTTGGGCTTCCTGTCTTCGTCAATGACCAAAGAGAACTGTGATCCGTCAGAAAATAAATAGGAGACGCAACACCTTCATTTCTTTTCGAGCCCAAGGCCACTGCTCGGCCAGAGGAATCCCGAAAAGCGAAAAATGAAGTGYTGCCTGCGTAGGAGGCTAATTTYTTGTACTCGTATATAAAAAGAACAATAGAGTCCATAGAGCACTATGAYACCAGCTCCCAGTGTTCCAAACAAGTCATTCATGGTACTAATTAGAGGTTTTAGGATTCATATAGTTGCCTAAATCATCCCAAAAATGCCACAATACACTCAATACGCGCTTTATGGTCGATTGGGACGATATATGACCACAAAGGATTGAAAAACTTAACATAATTGAAAGAAAGAACTCAAAATGTCATCAACTATGGTGTCAAGTAAACATTGTGTTCTCTATTGAGCAAAGTAAAGAAACCCACCTGTAAGTGACATKTTTGATAACTCGTCGMCTTAGACGGCKTCCAATTCKTCTGATAAGAATGATGGTCTTGTTCTTAATGATTACACGTCTTGTGATATGGTGGTAACGGGTGACGAGACGTTTGTTACGTCTAAACAGCGTGTGCCATGATCCACCGGGTCTACGGAAGCATAGTGTGGGACGTTTGTATCTGAGACGTCTAAAGCGACGACGTCGTCTTCTTGTGGTACGGCGCCTGTGGGACAAAAGTAATGTCATTTAATTGTTAAAGTAAAAATGCTTTTTTATTTCTTGGTCGTACTTGCTGTTGTCAGGCAAGTTTTCAAGAGTATAATAGAGAGAAATGAGTTTTTTTATCAAATAGTATCGCATATATTGCTCGCAACTAGACAGAAAATGACAATAAACGGATAAAATTCAACGATTGACCATCACACTATCCCTGGTTCATAGTGACTTTAGTCGTCTTGCGAAAAAAGATGTATGAACATTCCTTGAAAGAGCTTCTGAGTGCTTTTTGGTGTGATTTTGTATTACTGAAAGCATCTAGAAGTTAATTGATTGCGCATGCTTGAGATTATATGTTAAGCAATAGACATTCTCATAAGTTGTATTCTAAAAGAGTAATATACCAAAATAGACAGCAATGSTAGTTTAGAATTACCCAAGTTGTCATGAATTTCATAAAAGTAAAAGAAATCTGCATGTGAGAACGGTCTRAACATACCTTGCTCTTTTGATGCGACGACGGACACGACGGCGACGACGGTTACGTCGGCGTGCTCGACGAACACGGCGTCTGTTTCTTCTCCTGGTACGTTTAAGACGTCTTCGCCTGACAATATATCGCYTTCTTCGTCGCCTAATTCTTCTCCATGATATGAATCGTTTGTAATGATTTCTGATCTTTAGGWAARGTCTTCCTTTAAGTAGTCGAAGAGGTCTGTAACGTTTCTTGTAGAGTACAGTGATCCGTTTGTTRAATAYTTTGCAGCGATAGATTYGTCTTCCTCGCACAACCCTAAAAATAAACAATCTTAGTTTCCAATTCACTAGGTTTTCTTTGTTACTCGTAGGGTTGTACAGTACGATAGAAACCGATTGAAACTTAAAGCCGGGGTCTCACTTGTCCAATACACTCAAATCCACTGGTATGGAAAAATGAATAATACCAATCGACTCCATTCGAGAATGACGAAAGTATAATGGATCGCTATCCTTTTACATAAGTAARCAATTTTTCTACATTTAGAGTAATGGAGTCAACTTGAKTCACGCTCCGCCAAAGCAAGTTATCAAAAATTAAATTCCCAATTTAACAGATGTCAATTTTATAGGCTTGGAGTTCCTGTGGAAATTTAGCCACTGAAGAAAAGACCACCAATCGCCAATCGACTCGAGTGGTACGATTGGAATCCAATATCGTTCTCACCTACTACAATCTACTTCATCRGACATGCAATGTCAAATGGAGGGAAACCCGAAACAGCYGTTCGGTTCACCMTAAAATCACTTTTCATGATTTGATTTTACTTAGAACACACAACATGCTTCGTTTTCAAACGATCACRAGAAGAACAGAGAGGTCAGCACTRAAAACCAAATTTAAACTAGACGCTCTTGGAGCGTGAAGTCGGACTAGCTGCTTTTGAAAATTGAGAAAGACAGGATATTACATGGATAAAAATATTTCTTAATTTTTTTCCAAAATTGCCGAACTCACGGTCTAATAAGAGCGTCTAAAATTATGCAAAATATGCAAAATATGCAAAATTTATTGAGAGTAAATAAACTTGACCTAAAAAGTCATGTAATTAACGCGATAAGAACGTTTTAAAAGAGTCCTTGCTTTGACTGATAAAATCAAACTTGCTAGACAAAATGTCGAAGTGATATCATGATATCTAATACGTTGACCTCTCAGGCCAAGAAAATAAATACTTTACAAGGAAAAAGATGCCTATAAAATCATTAAATTCGCCTTTCTGATATTGATAAACAAAGTTTCTTCTTGTTCTAATYTGAAATCTTTGCCCACACAAGACTTTTTAACACTAGAAAGGTCATTGATTCGGATTCCTGAGCATACAATTCGAAGTTCCATGCGATCTGCACATGCGCGTACTATTGATGCCTAGACAGATGCATTCCGATGAGATCACAGATACCACATTTGTAAACGAACAGTTTTTTTATCACACAAAAGCACAAGTAGCATTTAACATTTACTAACGATATTCGTACATCTATACATTTGAGCTTCCGGTCATGTAATAACACAGCCATCCCAATAGTTAATTATTTAAAAATTCTTAACGTCCGGTSGTCCAAACGTGACAAAATACATAGATAGATAGATTGGCTAAAAGGAAAAACTCAAGTCGACCTAGCCTTCGGCTAGTCCGACTAAAAAGAG